TTTGTGATTAAGACAGGCACCAACAATCTCATTTTGTGATTAAGACAGGAACCAACAGTCTCACTTTGTGATTAAGACAGGCACCAACAGTCACGCTTTGTGATTAAGACAGGCACCAACAGTCTCACTTTTTGATAAAGACAGGCACCAACAGTCTCGGTTTGTGTTTAAGACAGGATCCAACAGTCTAGCTTTGTGTTTAAAACAGGATCCAACAGTCTATCTTTGTGATTAAGACAGGCACCAACAGTCTCACTTCGTGATTAAGACAGGCACCAACAGTCTCGCTTTGTGATTAAGACAGGCACCAACAGTCTCACTTTGTGATTAAGACAGGCACCAACAGTCTTGCTTTGTGATTAAGACAGGCACCAACAGTCTTGCTTTGTGTTTAAGACAGGATCCAACAGTCTAGCTTTGTGATTAAGACAGGCACCAACAGTCTCGCTTTGTGTTTAAGACAGGATCCAACAGTCTCGCTTTGAGATTAAGACAGGCACCAACAGTCTCACTTTGTGATTAAGACAGGAACCAAAAGTCTCGCTTTGTGATTTAGACAGGAACCAACAGTCTCGCTTTGTGATTAAGACGAGAACCAACAATTTAACTTTGTGATTAAGTCCAAAACAATCACTCACTTTGCGATTTGAAAAAAAAGAAAAAGTTTCTTTTGGTGAAAACAGGAACCTGGTCTACCTTTTGTGATTAAAATAGGAACCTGGTCTCATTTTATGATTGAGACAGGAATCAACAGTCTCCCTTTGTGATCAAGATAGGAATAACCACTCACTTTATAATTAAGACAGGGAACATAGTCTCCCTTAGTGATAGAGACAGGAATCAAGTTTCACTTTGTGATCAAGACAGGAATCACCACTCACATTATCATTAAGACAGGGAACATAGTCTCCCTTTGTGATTGAGACAGGAATCAACAGTTTCACTTTGTGATCAAGACAGGAATCACCACTCACTTTATAATTAAGACAGGGAACCTAGTCTCCCTTTGTGATTGAGACAGGAATCAACAGTTTCACTTTGTGATCAAGACAGGAATCACCACTCACTTTATAATTAAGACAGGGAACCTAGTCTCCCTTTGTGATTGAGACAGGAATCAACAGTTTCACTTTGTGATCAAGACAAGAATCACCACTCACTTTATGATTAAGATGGGGAACCTAGTCTCCCTTTGTGATTGAGACAGGAACCAAAAGTCTTACTTTAAAATTAAAACAGGAAACAAGTCTTCCTGTGTAATTGAGATCACAAGTGAATCTGTGAGCTACTGCTCACTAATGATACCCCCGCCCCGCTTAAAGTATAATGTAAACAGGAAGTTGTTGAGTGATGAACCTGAAAACGCATCACACTGTATAGCTGACTCAAATAAACCCTGAAACCAAATTTCAGAAATCCTTAAAATGTAGTTCCTGAAAATGATGCGACGAAAAATATTCATGGGACGGACAGACGGACAGATGGACAGACAGAGGTAAAACAGTATACCCCCCTTTTTTAAAGCGGGGGTATAATTAACTTTCACACCCACATATTAATGATGAGTTCTTGATTGTGTGTGTAAGTTCCAAATCAAGAAAGGAATGTGGAAACTTGAAAAGAATGCAAGTCATATAAAGTAGATGGAATGAAAAACTAACACAAATTCCCTACTATTCTTTTATTTTTTGTCATTTTAATTAAATAAACAAATATCATACCAAATGCTGTCTAAATATCGCTAGGTTTTCTTGCCAAATTTTTTTATAATCAGTAATGAGAGTTTCTTATTAGTTATTATTACCAGAAAAACAATGAATTGATAAATATACGTGCTTGTTAAAGATGACATGGTAACAGTTGGTTAGATGTATATTTGTTCAATGTATAACACAGATTTAGCCTCATTATTTCTGGAAAATAAATCCTTGTATAAAAATAAAAGAAGACAGCTTGAAAACCTAGCCATATTATTTAAATTACTAATTAACTTATTTAGTGAATATATGAAATGAAATGAAGATAAAAATATAAAAATTACATCAGTTATGTACAATCATGAAAATGTATCTTGGTTTTCTTGTTAAGATATAATACACAAATGATTGTAACCTTTTAAACATGATGGGTAATTGCCATCAAATTAAAATTCTCAAATGTTGACTATCCTAAATACAATACATACTCAGTAATGACATGAAATTCATATGGTTCAATATCTTTTTTCTGAAAATTGCCATGGAAATGATCTTCCAGATTATTTCACTATATATTTACTCAAGTTTTAATGAAAGTTTAGACATGTTCATCTATAGAGAATGTTCTTGTGTTTTACACCTTATGGGTAATGCACCACTATAGATGACAGTGCATAATTATACTATTTCATTGCACATGCTTCCAAACATGATAAATATTTTGTATAACAAGGAATATTATCACCAATTTGAGTTCAACTCTTTTTGTGTGGAATAACTTATAAAAGAACAAAAATATCTTTTCAACTACAATAAAATTAATTCCAAATTGCCATAGGTTTCAACATTTCATTTTTTTCTTTAAACTTTATATCACATTTACTTGCCAAAAATATATTCTTAGATCTTAAAATAATAGCAATTCAAATAATTACAGAACTTCTCAAGAATCTTTCCTAAACCTATCACATTACTTTGATAGGTTAATTTCAAACATCAGCAGACAGATTTTCAATGCATTGCATGTTTTCATTGATTAAACAGCTTTATATATATAATCATGATAACAATGATTGAGTTAATGTAACTCAATTTTTATGTTTAATAATACACATATATGATACATATATTTCTTGTTTCAAAAAATAGTTCCATGTAAAGATTAACAAAATTCATAGCGTAAAATTGAAGTATATCATAAAAACATTCATAATTTTTTATCATTATATTGGAGCAGTTCATAACAATAGGCTTCAAAAGATGCATCCAACCTTTTGTTAAATTGCTAAATTGTTTCCTAATACACCTTATCACTTTTTAGTCTAATCTGGAAAAAAATGGTCACTTAGACAACTTCCTGTTTGGGTCAAGTGTCACAAAAACAGAAGTCATCAGTAAAAATGAGCTGAGGGAGGAAAAAGTTTAGAAAGTGAACATTTTGAAATTTTAATAGATCTTAATCCATTTCTGTGAAACACAAGTCATAAAAATGCTTTGTTTGAAATGTTTACGATGGTATAAAGATATCTCTTTGAAAAGTTTTATGAACAACACAATCTTTAAACATAGCTTTAACTGGATGGAGTTTATTATGTAATTTCAGAACTTATCTGGATTGGAATAAATAGCCATAGTAACCTTCTGAAATCATATTGGAATATATAGCCATAAGGTGTATAACCTTCTGAGGTCATGCAATAATCAATTCTTTTGTTATGACAAAAGCTTTTTGTAATGTAATATTTTGCTGGAAGTTGCATGGTTTCTATATTTTTACCTTTTTGTCAAATGTATCGAAATTAATTACTGTAAACCAACTTATTTTTGCGTATACTTTATTTCACGTTTAGCCCTTTCTATTCCATTTCTCAGCGATTTAATTTCGCAATTTTCTAATTTACTTGATATAGTTGAATAAGGAAAGATCCAAGTTTTACATATTTGCGACAATTTATATTCACGTTATTTTTCTATTCGCAAAAGCCTTGAAAATAAATAGCTCACGAAAATTAGTTGGTTTACAGTATCAGTCCGAACAAGATCCCTAGCAAACATTATACATTTTTTGGGGCGATAACTTTGTATCAACATTGTGAAGATTATCAAAAAGTATACTGACCATAAATTGTCCAACCTTTTTCATGCTACATAGATGGTCAGACAACAGCATAGCATAAAATGATAATGTCTATTGTAAATAGGCATGTAAAATTATTTTTTTATATTTCTTAAAATATAATACAGACAAACAAATATAATATAATATATCTAACTGATGATAAAACATTTGATGTGATGAAACTTCTGATTCTTTTACGATTTTGTTAATAACAATTCTCACTCATTTCTTTATAATAATTGAAATATATTATTTTTGCTAAAATAATAAATTGCAATGGTTTCATTATTTTCTTGTAGAAAAAACTTTTCAACAGAACATAAACAGATTCACAACTTTTACTTATGTGAGCTTTCCCTTAAAAGAAACAAATTAATGAATGAAATAGACAAAATATAACGAAACTAAAATCAAAGATCCTGAAACCATTCAGGCTAACATTCAATTCAAGTCATTCTTTGAGATAAAACATAATCTTCACCAAAATAAACAAAACAATTATTGCATATCCTTAATACTGGTTATAAATGTTCATTCAAATTGTACATCTATATTTAATCCTTTATAATACATTACTAAGTCACTATTTACAATTAAGGAAAGTCTAAATTAAAACACATTTGTTCTATTTTTTTTCCAAGAAATTAATTATCTGAAATTTTGAAACAATGTTTTTCACAGCAAGAAAATCAACATCTTATAAAAGAACAGACTTCTAATGTCCGCAGCATTGCACATTTTTTATCTGTCAAAGGGAAATAACTAAAAAAAACAATTTTTTGTTGTTCTTTAAAACTTTTAAAAATTATCCTTATATAATAAAGTTGAAGACTTGAGAGCAATTTCCGATATATTTAATTTTAATATTTCCAAGGGTCAATTATCACTCATTAAAAATATTTAATCTGCACTAATTTTCGATCTCGTCTGAGACATTGCTGATATAAATCTATGATACAAGTTTTATTAAAATTTGATAAGAATTGTACATGTGAGAGGGCTAACAAGACCGGACAGACGCTCAATACTTCTATGTCCTCCGCAACACATCATGCAGGGTACACAAATATCAAAATTACTACGAGAATATTTTCAATTTTTAAAACTAAAAGTTAAATTCAAAGAATCAATTAATTTTTTTAAATTTGTTCATGATTTGATTGATATTTATTAATTTAAATGTTCTTTTTTTTTCTTTTTTTTCTTTTTTATTCTAATAGATATTATGCAAAACCAAGACCTTTTTTCTTGTCTCCAAAAAATGAAAAAAAAATATGAATTTTAAAATTTATTGAAAGTGTCAAAAAGAGTCCCAAGTCTGTGTTTTATGTTTTAGACTGTATACAGAAAACACACTGATTACATATATTTACCCCTACCACACTTTAAATAAGCAAAGCTATAATAAACTCAATCATATTCAAGACTAATTTTCAAAGATTCCTACTTGTAACTTTAAAGGCAACACAAGTTTCAAATAAACAAAATCAACAAGCAAGTAAACAAATTAAATAAACAAAATCAAGCAGAAAAGTCTTAAGAGACAATGTACAGAAAATATAAACATGTCAAATTATGTAATTTGTTTGAAAAATTAATCTTTAGCCTTTCAGGTCGATTCTCAACAATTTTATAGCATGATATATATGGAGCTTCTATATACTCAAAACATATACAGCTAAACATAGAAGTAAAATAAACTGCACATACAGTGTAAATATTTACAATATACTACAGATATTTGATATAAGATGTCACATCAAAATCAAATGTCAGTAAGGGAGGGTTGGGGTCAAAAACCTCAATGTATATGATTAAAAAAGGGTTGGGCAATCAAAAATCTAATTTAAATTGTCACTGATAACATTTACATGTCAAAAGGGTATAAAAAACATAATATACAAAGTAATTGAGTATATATGCCAATAAAAGGTGGGGGGTCAAAAAAATAATATACAATGTCAGATCATAAATATGTCGTTATGACCTATTATACAATGTCAATGATTATAAATATAAAGTAATGAAAACTTAAATCTTGTATATAAGTCAACAAACTGAAGGTTTAAGCAAAAAGCTGTAATGTGTTGCTGCATCATTGCTTTATAGTCAGCATCTAGTTTTTTTTTTTTCATAAGTGTTTCTCTCCAATCTGTCGAATGCAAATGTGATTTTAAAAATATTTTTCTACTCATTAAAGATGAGAAAAAAATTGCTTGCTAGTGAAAATGAGTTGGTTTTCAGTATAAATCACTTAGTTTACATTTTATATAAATTACAAGTTGTCACATTCTGAAATTTTGAACAATGGCTATTCCAGAAAAAAATGTCGGGAGTTACTTTTTGGGGTTTTTAACGACCTTGACTGGCTATAAAGCCCTCGCACACTCGGTGTCGGGAGAGGTGCTAGACAATGCTTTTTATACCCCACTACCCATAATATTTAGGTAAAGGGACATGATGTCACATGACAAAAAGTCACAAAATTGATAGGACTAAAAGTCACAGTTGATTAATTAACACTTGTTCGAATATATATTAGAAATGTCTAAAAAAAAATCTTTCATCACAATAAATTCATTTAGCAGGTTAGGAAATTGCTAATTTGCGTTGTTACATGAAGATTTGTCAAATTTAAATCATAAAAATGATATATTTAAAGCAGTAAATAAAAATAAATATCTTCCAAAAAATACTTTGACTTGCTTGTTTTTTAAATATTAAATAGATCATTTGTTAACAAAGTTGTTTAACAAATAATTGATAAAGAACATTACAAAAATGTTTAGCAAACAATTCTTCTTTAATTTCAGTATTTATATAAAAACAGAATTGTGAATTTTTGTACTGTGACTATAAAAATATTTTTCTACTCATTAAAGTTGAGAAAAAAATTTGCTAATGAAAATTAGTTAGTTTTCGGTATAAATCACTTTAATAGTTTACATTTTATATAAATTACATATTGTAGCAATGAAACTTCATTAGTCAGAATCATCAGAAGATGATGAAGTGCTGGACTTGGACTTCGAGTTCAGAGCTTGAAACTTGCTTTTCTTCGGTGAAGTAGTCTGAAAGAAAAAAATATAACAGTGGTTTTTCAAACAAAGTATTATGCATCTTTGTAAAATGAACAAATGTATTATAAATCTGTCAGTAATAATCAATTATGGTAAAGGTGTGTTTATGTAGTGTAAATTCAGAAATTATTGCGAGGTTTTTATTAATGTGAATAATGTAACTAGGTGAGTATCCCAATAATAAGAACTCACATTCTGATATTTGATACATTTATCTGTATTCAGGTTTTCCTGAAATCGCAATAATCAATTTCGCATTTCTGTCCACTCTTCAAAAATCTCAATAATAAATGAATGCGAAAATTTCTGGATTTAAAGTATTCTAAAATGACATCAATTATATTTTCCATTTGTGTTAATGTATTTTATAATGATATAAACAATATTTTGGCATTTCAAGGGTTTGGGTTATAAAATACAGAAAATGGGCATAAAAATTAGGAATGTAAAAAAATGGGATGCTAACATATAAAGAATAGAGATAATGGGCTAAAAAATTAGGAAAAACAAAACAGAGGTATATTTCAACTTTATGAAATTTTGATAAATTAATGCAAATGTTGAAGTTAAAACTACTACTTATGGGCATGTGCAAGTATAAATGGCAGTAAAAATTTTCAAGAGAATGAATTTTGCATAAAATATGAATTATAAACTGATTTCAACTTGGATTTATCAGTACAGTAATGCAGAGAAGTTGATCAAGTAAATCAAGTAAAAGAAAGAGACAAAATCAGTCCTCTGTAAGTTCTTCTTCAGATCAGTACATTTCACCAGCCTTTTCAAACAAAGAAAAATGTCGACACAACAACAAGTCAAAGGTATTGTTATCTAATACAATTAGTGAAGCCTTGTCATGTTTAAACGATAATAACAATTCATAACTTAACATTGATAATCAGGGCATCATGAATCAATCGATAAACCCAGGGTGCCAATACACATGTACACCATAACAATCTAGTACACCTATTTTGTACCAGCCGTTTCGACAATTCTACCATATCAGCAGTCACCTACCTTCCTTAGTTTATCATGTAATATATGCAACCGTAATTTTGATGAGGATGAATATCATTTTATTTTGGAATGTATTAGATATAAAGATATTCATATGAAGTATATACAACCTTATTATTGGCGAAAACCATCAGTATTTAAACTTATACAATTGCTATCTATTTTTGTAATATAAAAGAATTTAATAATTTTCGGGAGTATTTATGTATTGCTGAAAAAATTTGTTATTGTTCAATGTGTATATCATACTTCAAGAGTGTTGAATTATATTAATTGATATCATGCTCTTAGATTAGTTTTAAGGTGGGACATAACACTACAGGGAGATAACTCTGTAAAAATCAGCTGAATGTTTAAATCACATTCTATTGTTAAGGAAATATTAAGCTTCTCAATGATCAAAACTCATGTTTGTCGAACTGCTATATATCCAAAAAAAATTTCAGATATAGTGTGTGGTTCAAGTTTATTTAAATTTTTATATTTTTGTCAAAGGGTCAAAGTAAATATTTTGTCAAAATTAAACGAGCCAAATTAATTTTAGTCCAGGTGTTTGGTACCACCTTAAATTGTATGAATTGTATTCCTGAATTACTATATTGTACTATGTGATGCCTACTATATTTAATGTCACATGTGTATTGTTAATTGTTCTAGATACTTATAAGCTGTATTGCTTTTGGAATAAACAATACAACATGTAAACAATACAAAACATTCAAAGTCAATGAGTCAGAGTCATATAATCTCTGTGGAAATTAATAATTCCAATGCTAATACAACTGCATAACAAATACCATTTTGTTATCATTAGTGATTCCTTTAAATTTACCTTTAAAAAAAAACTTAAATGTAAACGATGCAAAAGTCAATGAACCATGATTAGGGGAAAGGGGCAAATAATCTCCACAGAAATGAAACATGAAAATGTGTATACAACTGCATACCAAATATCATTTAATCACCATTAGTGGTTCATCTTAAACTGACCTTATCACAAACTTAAAACATGTAAACTGTGCAAAGTTTCAGACTGAGGGGGTGGGGCCTAAATCTGAATAGAAATGAGGTATGCCAAAGCTAATACAACTGATAATCAACTTTCCTTGACCTACCACTAGTGGTTTCCCTTTAACTTACCTCTCCTGAAAACAACACACATAGGTCTCACTTGTTTTCTTGGTTTCAGATGGTTAATAAAGTTAGTGCAGATGTAAGACAGAAATTAAAGACAAAATCTAAATAAAAAACAAGATGAGGTCAGATCTAATAATTTGGAAATTTGATGGAAGAAAAATCTGATAAATGGAAAAAGCATAAATAGCAGCGACCTCTCCTTCACACACATCATGTTGTAATCAAAGTGTCAATTACCTTTCCAGTTTTCTCTGTTTGACTTTCTGAATCAGAATCACTATTTAACATCTCCTTGGTATAAGGGTTAGCTCTAAAGATCATCTACAATAGAGGAAATTATCCTGTATTGGATATTGTTTTTAATTCAGAAATATATTGCCACGTCTTAATATTGCAAAAATTGCAACAGGATTGGTTTAGCAAAAATAAAAACTTGCATTTAAAATTTTGGTAGCATAATTTTTATGCAGTATTTCCTGAAATCGTAAGAAATAATCTCACAATTTGTCCATTGTTCAATTGCAATAATAAGTGCACACAATAATTTCTGAATTGACAGTATTTTTATACGTTTCATAACGAGTGAGAATTAAGATTGATGAAGACTGATTTAAAATACAGCTTAACTTCATCCTGGTCCTCTAGATCTTAATAATTACTGTATGGTATGGGTTTAGCTGATTGTTAGGCTGTACTGCACCCTATCGATATTTGCATCCTAGTTCTTTGATCTCTGGTGGATAGGTGTTTCATTGGTCATCATACCACATCTCTTTGATGCTTTTCGACAGTTAATTTGTTCCTTTTGTTTTTTTTGAAATTGTGAAAATAACAAAATAATATGTTATTACTTAGGATTTTAATGTATACCAGGCAATTGTAAAAAAAGGCAACTATAAATTTTCATTTTCTTACGTTGTAGTTCTAGCTTGAATATCTTAAAATCATGAAAAATTTCTATTCATCTCACCTTCTTATTTTTTTGTTGCATTGGAGATGATGGTGTCACTGAGGTAGCCAAAGGATTCTTTTTTACACTGCTTTTAGTACCTTTTTCTTCATCAGAGTCGGATTCTGAGGACGATGATGAAGATGAAGATTTGTTTTGTTTACCTTTTCCAGTTTTTTTAGAAGGTGCTGCCTTTTTAGGACTTGTCTTTTTAGGACTTGTCTTTTCAGGACTTGCCTTTTTGGGACTTGACTTTTTCACCTGGGTTTTAGCTGTACTTTCTGATTCAGATGAACTGGGTGAATCTGAATCTTTCCTCTTCTCAGCTGCTGTGACTTTTTTAACATTTGATTTCTTTTGTTTACTTATTGTTTTTTCAGAATCTGACTCCGATATACTACTCAATTCCTTGGCTTTCCTGTCCTGTTTTTTCATATTTTTACTCAGCTTTTTCACTTCTGCTACATTAGATTTGTTCGATTTAATTGTTGTACCGGTATCTTCTGAGTCTGACTCTGATGAACTGCTGGAGTCTTCTGTCTTTATCTCAGGTTTTTTAGATTTTTTGTCCGACTGATTGACTGTTGCCAATGGTGTCTTCTTTGTTTTGATAGTTGCCTCTTCTGAGTCAGACTCTGATGAACTGCTAGAGTCTTCCATTTTTTTCTCAGGTTTTTTAGATTTTTTGTCAAACTGTTTAATGGTTGCCAATGAAGACTTCTTTGTTTTGGTAGTTGCCTCTTCAGAGTCAGACTCTGATGAAGAAGAATCTTTTTCAACTTTTTTCACAGGTGATGGAGCAACCTTTTTCTTTTTAGGATGTGGTGTATTTTTTCCACATTCTTCATTACTTTCTAATGGCCTTTTCAATTTTTTCTTCGGTGTGATAATCTTTGAATTTTCAATAGTGGATTTGACCTACAATAGAAATGTAATGACAATTTAATAAACTCACTAACCCAAAGTTTTAAAATCAAACAACATTCAACAAGTGACTGAAAAATATATGAATTCACAAAGGCATACAGTAGTTGTCGTTGGTTGCTGTCTGTTATATCTGTTTATCTGTTAATTACTTTGTCATAAATCAGGCCGTTGCTTTTTTAGTTCGAAGATATTGCCATGCCAGGGCCTTTTGTAGCTCCCTATAAAGTACAGGTTTTGCTCATTATAGAAGGCCTTTAATTCCTGGTCCTCTACTCTTGAACTTTGTACTTTATTTGGTCTTTTAAACATTTTTGATTCAAGTGTCACTGAATTTTTTTTAAACAAAATAAGTGTCTGGAGTACAAAATTTTAATCCTGGTATCTATGATGAGTTTATCTCAACTCACCTCATTTGGATGCTACATGATATTTGTCCCATTTGCAATCATACCACATCTTCTTATTCTATAAACTGTGGATTCATTATTATTTGTTGGATACCAATTTTCGTGGATTTCGTGGGTACAGCTGAACCACGAAATCCAATGTTCAACGAATAACAAAAGTTCTACAGGCTTGTATGCAGACTTCAGCAAAACCACGAAATTTAATATCCACGAACATGTAAGTTTTCCTGAATTCATGAAAATTGGTACCCACGAAAGTACATGAATCCACAGTAGTGGGTAAAAGGGAGAAGTTTGTACACATGTAAAACTGGTTCAACCCATCCACATTTAGGGACAGTACCAAGTCAGCTATCTGGATGACATTGTGTTCTAGTTGTCTTTGTGTTTGTACACATGTATAACTGGTTCAACCCATCCACCTTTAGGGACAGTACCAGGTCAGCTATCTGGATGACATTGTGTTCTAGTTCGTCTTTGTGTTTGTACTTTTTCTTGGAGGAGTCTGGTGTTGATGTGTTCTTTTATATCAAATATTTTAGCTAACTCCTGTCTGGGGGTGGAGGGGGAGGGGTTTCAGTAGGTACTTCTATTAAAATTTGATGGGCGGTGGTGGTTTTAGACAGACAGCCATTACAATAATATAGATTAACCAATTAAAATTTTTATGCATGGCTGGGTTAAATAAAAGGTGCTTTCCTACACCTCCACCCCACCCAAATGTCAGCCCGCATAGCACATATCTAATTCTTTTCAAAGTTCTTTAAAACTTTTCATAAATTTCTTTGAGAGTGCTTAAAATGCAATTTTCTATATAATAATTTTTCCAAGGGCACAACTGTTTGAAATTAATTGATTAGCACTCATTTTCAAACTTGTATGAGACATTGCTGATACAAACCTTTGATAAAAATTTTATAAAGTTCTGGCAAGATTCTAAAATGACAGAACAGACACACCAATGTGTTGTGCGAGGGACAAAAAATATGATATTTTGTATTAAATTCAAAATATCATGGGAGCCTTAATAATGGCCTAAGCATTATGTTTGTCATTTCAAGACATTACCAAATGTTTATATTAAATGTTTCATTCCAGAAACTTTTCAGAATATTGTAGCTTATACCTTTTCTTTTAACTTGCTTGCTGGCTGCAGTTTATCTGATAATTTTGAGATATGAATTGGTGTACTGGTACTGAGAAATTCATACTTGTCTGAGAGCTCTTCATCATCATCATCTTCTTCGCCAGGGTCTGACTTTACAGCTCGAAGTTTATTCTGAAACCAAATAAATAGAAACAAATAAAACAGTGCCTACTGAAAAAAAAAACATAGATGTTATTTTCATCCAGAACAACTTCAACAACAATATTTCATATGAATAGAAGGCAGTATGGGGTATACAGTAAACCAACTACTGTAAATTCAGAAATTATTGCGAGGTTTTTATTAATGCGAATAATGCAACAAGGTGAGTATTGCAATAATAAAAACTCGCATTTTGATAACTGAAACATAGATTTGTATGGAGATTTTTCTGATATCGCAATAACTGAAATCGCATTCTTGTCCATTTTTTAACAAGAGTGCACACGCTGAAATGTCTCGCCTTCTTTACTAACCATTGATTTTATGTTGATAGTCCTAGATACAAAGCTTTACTACAAGTAACACATACACTTAACATGATCAAAGAAAATGAGGTCAAGGTCAGATAAACAAAACGAGAAATACATGTACACCTTACAATCATTCAATAAACCAAATATAGTAGACCTACTGCTTATAGTATCTGATATAGGGACTTGACCACGAAAACTTAACCTTGTTCACCGATCCATGAAATGAGGTCGAGGTCAAATGAAAATTGTCTGACGGGCACGAGGACCTTGCAAGGTACGCACATACTAAATATAGTTATCCTATTACTCATAATAAGAAAGAAATTAACTTTACAAAAAATGTTGACTTTTTTTCAAGTAGTCACTGAACCATGAAAATGAGGTCAAGGACAATGGACATATGACAGACAGAAACTTCGTAACATAAGGCATCTATATGCAAAGTATGAAGCATCCAGGTCTTCTAGCTTCTAAAATATAAAGCTTTTAAGAAGTTAGGTAATGCCGCCGCCGTCCCCGTAGCAGCCGGATCATCCTTATGTCGAGCTTTCTGCTACAAAAGTCGCAGGCTCGACAAAAATCACAAAAATAAATGCACGCAATAACTTCTGAATTTATAGTAAGTTTATTTTATTTTTGCCATATCTTAGCAAATAGCAGAATATTAATCATGGCTTGAGTGTTGAGTAAAAACTTGCAGGAGGGCACATAAAAGATTGCCATGAACTTGACATAAAATCCCCTTAACTGTTGATAAGCATATCCAAATATGTTTATATTTGAAATATATCCAAACAGTGTAAGTTAAGATAATAATCTAAACATATTTGAGATGCTGCCAACATATGCTTAATTGCCTTAAATCTGAAGGTTCAAGTAATAACTATTGAATGACAAATCACAAAATTTCCAAAATCAAACGTTCTTACAACATATTAAGCTTAAAGTAAATTAATCAAAGCATAATTGAGTTTTTAGGAGCTCTGAGGGAAAAGACGGCCATTGTTTCTAAATTTTTTGGGGTATCTTTTGATAGACTGCATACAAATAATGAGCAAAAGAACAGCTAGAACATGTAGAAAGGTTGACAATATTGAAATTAATTGTTGTTTAATGTAATTTCATTTCCTTAGTCAAGAATTCATCATGGAGTCAATTTGGACCAATGGAAGAGAATGGCACCTTCTAAATAAAAAACATTTGATTAAAGTTGAAAGTTAATTATTTAAAATTCAATTGAGTTCTATCATTTAATAACTACTACAATATATTTTAATTTTTTTTATTGTGTACCACTGAACTGCAGGCTAGGGCCATTTTCCATTTTTGTGACAGTGCTCTAAGATTTTTAATTTTTCTCAAGAAAGTGAGGACTGAGAAGTCAATTCAGTTTTAAATTTCCATTGATACCCAGTTACAACTCTCATCACAGGGATACATGTACTTACAAAAACCAATCAGATTGATATCAGTGTCTTCCCTAGAAAATTTTTCATGCATGGTGGGTCCATGGTGAATTTGCAACGCGGCGCGCGACGCTTTTTCAGAATTAGTTACATTACATAATTTATATGTTTTAAGCCATCTAATTGTTTTATTATAGGTACAGCAATTCATATAAGTCATGGAATTTTAAAGTATTTATCACAGATGAGAGTAATTAATGAAAGACCATATAAACAATAATAACAATAATCCAGTCTGCAATAGTTATTTACAAATTAATGTCATATACACATTATTTTGTTGATATCTTCCTCTGTTTCAACTTTCCAAAGGTCACCACATATTTTTCAAAATCAAAAGCTTCTTCCTTTGGTCCTTCAATTGATATATGCATTAAGCAATTGAGCACTTTTTGGCATAGTCTGTTTCTCAAAGGTGATTTTCATCTGTCCGACTACAATTTGATGAAGGAGTAGACTTCTCTAACCAACTTGTCAAAAAAGTTGGGCCAGTAAGGCCACGTTTCTTTGATGGTTGCTTGGACATGGTTGTTAAACTGATGATTGTTTATCGAATTTTGCTGATAGAATGGTTTCAGCATCAACAGCAAGTTGTTAAATAAAACTTTGAATGTCATCATTGCTTCACAGAGATTTTACAGGAAACAATAAAAAAAAATTATTTGCGTTAATTACAGAAGTCGTCAGTGAAGAATACCTGACATACTGACACACGGATGACATATTTGGCAATTACCTGTTTGGAAGCTAAGCTGACATTTATTTCATGACAATTAACTATTTTTATTTAACTACATCCCTGTCCGATTTATTTATAACGCTTCATAATTGTAAAAATCCTATCTTGCCGAAGTGAAAGAAATTTAGCCCCACTTGTGAAAAAAAACGGCAAATGAATCCGCTACACGCCCATTGAAATAAAAATAGAACAACACAAGTTTATTCAAAACAATATTTCCGTAAATAAATACGTATATTTTGAAAGTTTTCTATCAAATCTTTTAAATATTTCATAAGACACGTCTTTTTCTCGGCCCGGTGGCGGTGATGTGTATTCTTTGATAAAATCAATCAACCGCGACTAATCTAAAAATAACTGATTGTTGTGACCAATCAAAAAATAATTCATCGATGTAAATATAGCTGATGAAGTAACTGTGAAACTTTATTAAAAAAAAATGTTTTGTCCATTCCCGGTGAAATTACGTTTACTTAGTTTTATTTTAAAATACCAGAGACTACACCAAATTTTAAATTTCTACTTTTTAAAGATCACAGTAAAATAACGATGTCAAACACCCGGCCGTTTTTGAGGTGAAATGTATACAGGAAAAGGTTATACTTTTTATTTAGCACAGAAAGATATGCATTGGAGATAAATCTGACTATTTATTTATTAGCTGACTGGTAACTTCTATTATGTAACCCAAGTCTCGATGTATAACCATCTAATCAAGAAGGTTGTAAAATCCCGGCATGCGCGACGTGATGCATCCAATTATTAGTCGGATGAGTTTAAAACACCTGTGGAGTCTTGTCACTTGTTACTTCACTTTCAAAATATCGATAATAAATATTTTACACAGTTATAATTTTCACACATAGCGGGATGCATTGCGGCAATGATGAAAGCATGGCGGTCGAAATTTATGCGTAGCGGTACCGCAATGCTTGAATAGCCTAGGGAAAACACTGGATATAAGCTGTGTGCAGCTTGTTTTCAGATCCTACATTTTTATATATTTGTAAATTCCATGAATAAATATGTTTAAACTACAAAAAGCAACATTTGAAAACTTTATTAATTTTTTTTACCATAACAATGATTATGTTGGTACAAAAAAAAATGTTTTAATGGAAGACTACATATCATATAATAAATGTCACATTGTAAGTGTTAAGATACATTAACTTTTATTTAGGTGGATAATTACTCATCAATTGAGGTGCTCCTGTATTGGAGGATGATTCTCAATACAGTTACAGAAAGAATGAAAACTGCTGTTTCTCTCCCCAACCTTATGTATCCCCATTGCTTACCGCGAAAATTGACCTACAAATTAAAGCATTGATGTTTGAATCATGTACAGCAAACATAATTAGGTTGAAATAAACAAATACCAATTTTAAAATCGTACACCATTTCTGTGAATGATTTTAATCGTGAGTAAAGGATATCCCTGCTTCTGCGTAGTGTGGAATTCCAACCATGACGTCACTAAGTTGGATATATTTAGAATATTTCGTAATACTGATTTTTCCGGATTGTAAAAGTAACTTAAATAGTGTAAGGGAGAGCTCAAGATACGATAATTTCACGAGAAATAAATGGGAAATGTGTAAAAAAAGTGTTTCAAGTCTATCTGTTCATTTGTTTATCTCCTAAATTCATCAATTCAGTATGAAATTTTGAGGTGTTTTCCAATTATAAACACAAAACGATTGACGTGAGAGGCTTGGAAGTCTGGCCAAACAAATAGGGAATTAACGGCTTAAAGCCGTCTTTCCCAAAACAAGCAATTATTAATTTTAGGAATTTCTTGTTGTTGCATGGTTTTAAATTCTGTGGATTAATTTTTTTGGGGGGAAACTATTTTTCAAGAATTGATAACATATAAAAAAGAAGATGTGGTATGATTACCAATGAGACAACTCTCCACAAGAGACCAAATGACACAGAAATTAACAACTATAGGTCACTGTATGGCCTTCAACAATGAGCAAAGCCCATACTGCAGTCAGAAGGCCCCGAAATGACAATGTAAAACAATTCAAACGAGAAAACTAATGGCCTAATTTATGTACAAAAAATGAACGAAGAACAAATATGTAACACATAAACAAACGACAACCACTGAATTACAGGCTCCTGACTTGGGACAGGCACATACATAGTATTTTTGTGGGTTGTATAGAAAATTAGTACATTGTTGAACATTCAAATTCGTGGTTCCCCTATACCCATGAATTCCACAAAAATTAGTATTCCTTCATTAATAATGAATCCACAGTTATTGAGTTTGGCATTCTTCAGATTTCTGTCAAAAATAAATTGCACAAGTCAATTTTTGATTATACACAGTATTGTCTTTGGTCCATGAACTGTATATTATCAAACCCATGAAAACTATTTCTTGGGTCTTTTATTTAACTATACCTTTGACTTTCCTGGCCTGCTACTTGCTCCAGTCACATTCCTAAACATATAAAAAAACATATCATAAATAACAACAAAGGAAATGGTTTATTAATGGTCAAACATTGAAATTTCAAGTTAAGCAATTATAATAAACATTTGATAGGTATGACAATAAATAGCTGCACTATGAGCGTATGATACACCCGTCGCTTTTTCAAAGAATAAAGTTCAATAACTTCTCAATGTCATATCAGAAATTTATAAAAAAAACTAAAGAGATGTTATTTTAATAGCTATAAACCAGTCACCAAAATTTCATGAAACTGCTCAAAGCACTTTTGAATTATTGTCCCAAAACTGGAAAATCATCCCTTTTTTATCAATAAAATCCCATAACCAGATAACTCGGAAATGTAAAATCTAAAATTTATAAAAATCGAAAGGGAGCTCACGTCAATAGATAAAAACAATTCACTAAAGTTTCATGCAAATTGGTTAAAACGTTTTTGAGTTATTGTCTAACATGTTGACGACAGACGGACAACAGTATACCATAAAACATCCCGTAAACAGGCGTATAAAAAAGAAAGTAAAACTACATGTGAAGTAACAAAATATGTTAGTTTTGGTACATTTATTCAAGTTATATGATATCATGGATGGTGATGCCATAATTGTGTCCTTTTTCATATTTCATTAATATATATATAGTCTGGACAAGAAAAAACTAGAGGCTCTAAAGAGCTTGTGTCACTCACCTGGATCAATGTGCATCTTCAACAATGGCTACTCTCCATCATTGAAAACTAGAATATAACTCAGGACTTAAATCATCTTGTCAATCTTGATTTGCTGAATATTTTTTTCTTTTAAATTTCTCTCTATCAACTACATTTTTGCCCCAAAACATAAAAATCATCATTCAGGGGCAGTAAGGCTAAGATAACTGGACTGACGATTTTTTTTACAGTTTCTATCTTCTATATAGTTCCCCACCCCCTAAAAAAGCATAAAAAAATCATTTAAGGGCAATAACTCTTGTAAGTGGTCAACCAACAATTTTGGCTATGTATGACCTATTTGTAGATCTTGTCTTGCTGACTTTTTTTAATTTTTAAAGTTTTTATTGTCTATTACAATTTTCAAGATAAAAGACAAATATGCAAAAATGCAAAATAAAATTGGAAAAAATTGTCATTTAAAAGCAAAAAAAAATAATAAAAAGTGGAATGACAGTTAGACAGTTGGTAGATCTCATCATTTCCAACATTATCGGGATTTTTCTATCTATAGCGGGTTTTATGATAAAAAACAAAAATGAAGTCATTCTGTTCAGTAGTATAGAAGAAATGTGTAACAAAAAATTATAAGTTCATTCTCCATTTTCAAAGTATCTGCAAACAGGAAGTTGGTGTCTGACAGTCCGATAAGTGCTCACACTTTACATTCATCCTTGCCAAGCTGCTGACCAAATATGAAGGGGTTCTGATAAGCAAATTCCTCGGAAAAGTGTGACGACAAATTTTGAATTGGAAGTACAGAAGGATGAACAGACAAGATTAACACAATTTAGTCCCAACTTTCAGAATGAGAGTATAATAAGTCATTCTGTTTAGCAGTTTGAGAAAAGTGTGAACAAAATATATATGTTGGAGAGAGAGACAAATGGAAGAACATACAATAACATTTAAGTTTAACCCCCACTCTGTTTATACATTTTTATATGTGTTGAATTAAACTATTCCATGTGACTTCTCAAGTGCATTTTATATTGATTAGAAATACCCAAGTTTTTGCCTTTATAATAAGCATACAGGCGTTAGCGTTTAACAGAAATACCAAATGTATACACCAGAAAAACTGTCACATATTTCTTTTAAGGACCTTATCACAAGGTCGTGACAATTACTTACAGATACTGTTTGATCTCAGACTGCTTTTTTCCTGCCTCTTTTTTCCTCTGCGCTATTTTCTGTGAACAAATTAAAAGTGAAATCAGAACATAAATGTAAAGATTAGCAAACCTACTAAGAATCACCATACATAAGGCCGTTTTCACAGAAAGATGATGATCTGTGGCAGTTTAAGATACAGTGACAAATTAAATGAATATTCAGATTGAGAACATGTTTATACATGAATATGAACCCCGCTTTGCAAGAGACTGACACTCTGAGCAGGATTTTTAAAGTGTTAAAGCTATATATAGCTCACACGGTAATAGGAAGACATGTTAAATCTTCACAGACACATTACTCTCACTGTGAGAAGACAAACTAATTTATGGTTGACCTACTTGGAACAGAACAACAGAAATAAGCGTATCATATGTCATTTTGAAGATAAATTAAGTTTCAGGGGAAAGGACTACAGTGGAATCGAAATATTGAGAAGTTCGCCCGACTGAGTGTCAGTTCTCATTAATGGGAGTTGGGAACCTTGTGCTATTTTTAGGTATTCATGAAAAAAAAATCAAGAGACAAGTACCTGTGTTTTATAGACAAAGCTTAAATCTACCAAAAACACATTTATCCTATCTAAAACCATATCATCAGAGGGACTTGTAAATTGTGAATACTGAGAATTGTTTTGCCTGTGAAACCAAACCACAAATTTTAACAATTGTTGAAACCACTGAAATAACAAGCCTAAGTTTTGCAGGTCACTAACAATTTTTTTTTACAACGGCTTACTTATCTTTAATAATCTCAGTTGCAAAAATTACATGCACATTCAGACTTACAACATTGTAACTGTGATTAACCTAGAAACAGTATATTAACTTTCAAATAGACAACTGTTAAAGTGTAATCAAGTGGAATCAAGGCCATTAAATTATTTTGGTTTTTTTCAGTACCTGGAATTTTTTTTATTAACTTAAATATTAACTTAACTTTAAACATAAAGTATTTATTTATGCAAATTTGCTTCTTTATCATTTCAAGAAAAGAAATATGAAAAAAAAAAGAAGAAAATCTTTAAAATTATCATTAATGATAGTCATGATTGTGCAATTAATCCAATAGTCAATTTACAGTTTCAGTTGTGTTACTTATTGTTTTGTCAATATTTCATAGCCTTAAACATAATTGGTAAACCCTTTCAACGCTATACACGGCATATGCTGCGATGACAAACACCGCCCACAACTGCTGTTTGTGGCATATGTCGCGATGACAATGGATTTTTCATACAGACTCGTAACCATTCAGATTTCATTCCGGTCCTCTCTAATTTTTCCTCGTATGAATTGAGGATATACAAGGTCCCATTTGTGCTTGAAATTGCGGGAATTTTAATGGTAAAAGCATGCAGTAGAAGAGAATTAAAAAAAAAAATTTTGACAAATGCAAATGGCGGAAATCAAAATAGACGCTGTAAATATGGAAATATTTCAGCATTTCTATGGTGAAACTGACAATGAGGAATAGTTAAAACATTGTAAAAGGTTTCCCTTTATCTCAATGTGTTAATTACATTCAAATAGTGTAACGAAATATGATTTGGTTGATCTTTATAGACGTAGAAAAAGGGGGGGGGGGGGGGGGGAAACGGAGGTTTGCTGAAAATTTTGAGGACGGAGCCACTTATTTGTGCCACATTTACATTATATGTTGTGTATGGTGCAAATACGCTACTGAATCAAGCAACTGGTGTCTTCTTTATTATATGGCAGATAAAACAACAAAATAAATGAAGATTAAAAGTTGTTTTTATTCAAAATTCAACACAAATACAATAATTTACACCTTTTACCTGTTAATTACCTGAAAATGCAGGTAGCTTGATGAAAATTTTACTAAAATAATTGCATAACATTACAGTTCATGCTCTCCTGAGCATTTTTCATGCACTAACTTTGTCTGTATCTCTAATAATAAAAAAGATACAGCAGCCTGAAAAGGAATATACTGTTCTAATGAATGAACACCAAAAAAAATGCAGCAGCAGCAGCCATTTTTCTATTTTTTTTGTGTAGCGTTGAAAGGGTTAAAAGACAAAACTTGGTAAAAAGTCATCTTTAGAGGATAATAACTTCAATAAGGAGTTTTGTGATTGTTTAAGTCATGTTAATAGCATTTTTTCAAATCCTACATTACTGACCCTATTTACCTTTTACTGCTGTTTATAGTTTCTATCTAACTATTAGTTTTCATGATTCTTTAAACCCACTTGTTTTTGTTGATACCTAAATTTCAAGTTTAACCCTATCTTGCCAACTTTGTAGTGATTTTTATTTCAATTTTCTTAATTCCTCAATGTAGTTAATAGTTTACATATTCATAACAATTTATATTCAGATTTTTTTTTATTTTGTCTCTGTTAAATTTATTCTCAATTTGTCCAAGATTCAGTGTGGTTCAGAAATCAACATACCTCTTTTCTCTCATTCTCTTGTCTAATTACGTTCAATTTATATATCTCCCTTTCATCTTCTGGCAAACTCTGTAAATAACTCTCATATTCCTCAAATTTCTGTTTTGTGATCTAAAAAATCATTTTAAAAAAACAAAGATTAGTCTCTACTATTTTCTAACATTATTAACATGATTAAGGAACCAATGAAAATTTGAAATAGCAAAATTAATGTATTTCAATGCACCGGTATGACAACAACAGCCCAGAAATGTAAGAAAATGGAAACGTACCTTTTGAGCATCATCAATGTATTTTTGTTTCTCTTGCTCACTCAGATTTTTCCAATCTTCTCCATTTTGTCTCATGGCATCAGTGTTAGGTAATTTGCCTTTTAGTTTGTGCAAGTTCTGAGATGTGAATACTTGAAAAGCAGACCTGAAAACAAACAATGTATAAATAAATGGAGAATGTGTCCATGTGACACAGATGATACCCCTGCTTGCATATAATGTTATAAAGGAGCATAACTCAAGAACAGTAAAAGTGATGCAAACCAAATTCGAACTTGATCTGTGTTTTATGGTAATAAGCATTGTGTATAAGTTTCATGTAAAATTTGGTTGAGGCAAACTAAAGTTAGAGAACAGAAACTAATTTTGGGACGTATGTAGGGACAGACAGATGGAAGGACAAGGGCAACACTTAATGCCCCCTCCACCACGTCGGGGGCATAATAATTACATATTAAAGGCTGCATATAGCTAAAATCTCCTACATTGGGCTGTCCTATAAAAACATGCATAGTACTAAGGGAAGGCACTTTAAAATCACAACTATGGGTGGGTGTCAAGCACAGAGAAAATGTAAGTGAATATATAACCTCTACATATGGAAATGAGATGTCCTAATGCTTATACAACTGCATACCAATTATCATTGACCTACCACTAACAGTTCCCCTTAAACTGACCTAATCACAAACTAATACATGAAAACTAAGCAAACGTTTCAAAGTCAATAGACCATGAATGAGGGGGCGGGGCCAAATAATCTCCATGGAAATGAGATATGCCAATGCTTATACAACTGCATACCAAATATCATTGACCTACCACTAGTGGTACCCCATAAACTGACCTAATCACAAACTAATACATGTAAACTAAGCAAAGTTTCAAAGTCAATAGATCTTGACTGAGGGGGCGGGGCCAAATAATCCCCATGGTAATGAGATGTGCCAATGTTAATACAACTGCATACCAAATATCATTAACCTAACACTAGTGGTTCACCATGAACTAGACCTAATCACAAACTAATACATTGTTGACGCTGCCGGAAACAGCATACCTATGTCTCACTTTTTGACTCTGTCAAGGCAAGACAAAAATCTAGACCTATTGTGTTCTGCTATTTTACAATCCAAGATGGCAGAAGACACTCATACCACCATAATACATTTTATACAGTGCTGCAACTTTGAAATGAAAATACTATTTTATTATAAAAAAATATTAATTTTATCAGTATGAAATTTGGAAAAATACTCATTATCATTTGAAAACTAAACAAGAATCTGTGTTTCAGGGGTTTCATTATTTTTTTAGACTGGAGGTACCTTTGAGATTATAGGGGGAACCAAACTTAAACGGCAAGGGGTCTGGGGGCCGCTTAAGGCCCCCAGTGGGTCCAGGGCTAGCCCTGGTAGGGGGACCAGGGGGGCAAAGCCCCCCGAAGCTCATGGATTTTAGGGATTTCAGCCTTAATTTTTTGCTTAAAAAAATAGGGTAAAGTCTGTAATATTTGCTTCAATTTTGGGTAAGTTAACATTGAATTGTTTTTTTTCTAGACATGCTAGAGTAATGATCTGAAAATACATTGCTTATAATTATTTTGTAATCAGTTATAAAATATGTATGACCATGGAAGTATTATATTGTCAATATAATACTTCCATGGTATGACCTATAACGCAGGGGTTTCATGTGAAATGTTGTTTAAATGTTTTGTTTGTTTTTATACTTTTATTAAATGTTTTGCATTTGTTCAATTTTGTGAATGAAATTTCATAAGTTACATAGTATATTATTAAAAAAAATTGATAATAAAACTTGTTGTAACTTTTTTTTTATTGCTTTGTTATAATCATAACTGTGTCAATTGTTTGTGTAAGTAATTTAACAGTGTCATGCAAACAATTAAACAAAATAAACAATAAACATGCTCTCATGCAAAACAACAAACAAACGTTTTTGATATATGCTAAGTGTTGTGATGGTTGTTCTTGTCCGAAAAAAACAACATGTATTCAACTTTCACTTAACTTTAATATTCATAAAAAGGGGTGATTGTGAAATGGGGGGGGGGGGGGGGGGGGGCAAATTAATCATAGGATTCTTGACTATAGTAAGTAAAAAAAAAAAAAATTTCACTTCTTCTTAGCTGTCTTTTTTTTTAATTTTAGAAGTCTTAAATCTCGTCAGATGTTATATTTTGTAAACGTAACAGTTATGTTAGTTCAGATTGTAAAATGTTTCACGATGTCTTACACTAAAAAATTCAATCACAACATACATGTAGAACACATATCGTGAAAACGGAGATCAGTGACAACGTCCAACGGGAAACGAACTGATTTGATACGATTAACGATTTTTCTGAATTTCATAGAATGTTCACCTTTATTAAACCTTTTATTCATAAAATAATCTGTGATACAAGCTGCTTTCCTTTTATTAGACATAATATTGCTGTTGTTGTTTAAATTCATCAACAATTTGCCGCTTGAAAATATACTGCTAAATCGTCGCATTTTAAAGCGCTCTTACGATACAGATACAGACACATGGTTTGTAATTATCACTTCTCCTACTTTGGAGGTGTGCCTAAATTGGCAGAAGATAGATCTATACTTTAACGCGGACCTCGACGAAGACACCTATAAACATACACATGAACCGCGTAGAACGGAGATTGTCAAGGAATGAAAGAAATTAGATTTGAACGATCTTCAAAAGAATTTTACACATTTTTTTTTGTATTTTTATTTTTTCTGCCGGTACCAGACGCTTCCGTAGGCGGGTAAAAGTACCGGGTACCGGGTATTAATGAATGCACTGGTGTTTGTATATATATATAGCTATATAGGACACCATGCCCCCCCCCCCCCCCCCCTTTCCTTGCATTAAATTTCTATATTCAGTGAACATTTAAAATGGTGTCAAAACCCAAATTTGGCATATAGTTTAAACAGTTTCCATCATAATGAAAATGAGTAGATAATAACTTGATGGTTATCTACCAGACTACCTTAATCAAAAACTTGAACCTGATACCATGGATACGGGACAAACAGACTTAAGGAAAAACATATGCATATGCCAGAAAACATAATGCCTCCCTTTACTATTATAGAAGGGCATACAAATGTTGACCAAGGGAAAAACAATAACTTATCATAATAAGTTCACCAATGAATTACATACAAAATATAATTGTGGACTACTGTGTGTAATTATTGTTGTACAGCCCAAGTTCTGCATTAACTGTTAGTAATTTTGTACAGCTTAAGTTGTGTATTAACTGTTGGTAATTTTGTACAGCCCAGAATCTGCATTAACTGTTAGTAATCGTGTACAGCCGAAGTTCTGCATTAACTGTTATTAATGCTATACAGCCCAAGTTCTGCATTAACTGTTAGAAATTTTGTACAGCCCAAGTTATGTATTAACTGTTAGTAATTTTGTACAGCCCAAGTTCTGCATTAACTGTTAGTAATTTTGTACAGCCCAAGGTCTGCACTACCTGTTAGTAATTTTGTACAGCCCAGGATCTGCATTAACTGTTAGTAATTTTGTACAGCTCAAGTTATGTATTAACTGTTAGTAATTTTGTACAGCCCAGAATCTGCATTAACTGTTAGTAATCGTGTACAGCCCAAGTTGTGCATTAACTGTTAGTTATTTTGTACAGCCCAAGGTTTGCAATTTTGTACAGACCAAGTTGTGCATTAACTGTTAGTAATTTTGTACAGCCCAAGGTCTGCATTACCTGCTAGTAATTTTGTACAGCCCAGGATCTGCATTAACTGTTAGTAATTTTGTACAGCTCAAACTATGTATTAACTGTTAGTAATTTTGTACAGCCCAGAATCTGCATTAACTGTTAGTAATCATGTACAGCCCAAGTTCTGCATTAACTGTTAGTAATTTTGTACAGCCCAAGTTCTGCATTAACTGTTAGTAATTTTGTACAGCCCAAGTTCTGCAATAACTGTTAGTAGTTTTGTACAGCCCAGGATCTGCATTACCTGTTAGTAATTTTATACAGCCCAGGATCTGCATTAACTGTTAGTAATTGTGTACAGCCCAAGTTCTGCATTAACTGTTAGTTATTTTGTACAGCCCAAGGTTTGCAATTTTGTACAGACCAAGTTGTGTATTAACTGTTAGAAATTTTATACAGCCCAAGGTCTGCATTACCTGCTAGTAATTTTGTACAGCCCAGAATCTGCATTAACTGTTAGTAATTTTGTACAGACCAAGTTCTGCATTAACTGTTATATTTGTACAGCCCAAGGTCTGAGTTCGTGCGTAATTTTGAGAGTCACTAATATATTGTTTATTTAAATTGACACTAAGACTTACACTTTTGTTGGCTTCTTCCTTAATGTTGTCTTTGATATAAAAAAAACAAAAAACAAAAACCATTAGGTAATAAATACTTTACATAGATCAAAACTGAATTCAATTCATGAAAAATGTCAGAAATAGAAAGAGATATAAATCTCATCAAATTGATGTATGAAAATCATTACTACAAAATGCATTATACTTATGAATCAGCACAAAATGACAAATGTAGACAATAAATAATTGAAATAATCAGTGTGTGTTGATTAAGGACTTTCTGTTTTGAATTTTCCTTTGAGTTCGGTATTTTTGCTATTTAACTTCCTTTTTTTCAAAGGTTATGTACGGTAAGATAAAAATCATAAAATAATTCAACAAAGCCAAGGGTAGTAGTTCACTCTCTGAAATTTGTTGGTGCAAATCACAAGGTTAGAAAATTTCTTCCAAGTGAATGATAGTTAAAATGAAATTATTATCTTAAAGTATACGACAAATTAAAAGCACATTTTCTTTTTAAGCGCAAGTTTCATAAAATTGAACAGAAAATGTCTATTAAACAAAGTAAAAATATTCTATAAAAAAAAGCAAACATAATGTGCGAATTCTATTCATACCTTAGATTTTGACCTGATTGTATCTTAACTGATTCCTTGACTATACAATCTTTTATTCATATCTCAACTGATTCCTTGACTATACAATCTGTTATTCATATCTTAACTGATTCCTTGACTATACAATCTTTTATTCATATCTTAACTGATTCCTGACTATACAAACTTTTATTCATACCTTAACTGATTCCTTGACTATACAATCTGTTATTCATATCTTAACTGATTCCTTGACTATACAATCTTTTATTCATATCTTAACTGATTCCTGACTATACAATCTTTTATTCATACCTCAACCGATTCCTTGACTATAAAACCTTTTATTCATACCTTATCTGATTCCTTGACTATACAATCTTTTATTCATATCTTAACTGATTCCTGACTATACAATCTTTTATTCATACCTCAACTGATTCCTTGACTATAAAACCTTTTATTCATACCTTAACTGATTCCTTGACTATACAATCTTTTATTCATACCTTAACAGATTCCTTGACTATACACACTTTTATTCATATCTCAACTGATTCCTTGACTATACAATCTGTTATTCATATCTTAACTGATTCCTTGACTATACAATCGTTTATTCATATCTTAACTGATTCCTGACTATACAATCTTTTATTCATATCTTAACTGATTCCTGACTAAACAATTTTTTATTCATACCTTAACTGATTCATTGACCATACAATCTTTTATTCATACCTCAACTGATTCCTTGACTATAAAATCTGTTATTCATATCTTAACTGATTTCTTGACTATACAATCTTTTATTCATACCTTAACAGATTCCTTGACTATACAATCTTTTATTCATATCTCAACTGATTCCTTGACTATACAATCTTTTATTCATATTTTAACTGATTCCTTGACTATACAATCTTTTATTCATATCTTAACTGATTCCTTGACTATACAATCTTTTATTCATACCTTAACTGATTCCTTGACTATACAATCTTTTTATCATACCTTGAGTTAATTAATTCCTTGACTATACAATCTTTTATTCATACCTGGACTGATTCCTTGACTAAACAATCTTTTATTCATACCTCAACTGATTCCTTGACTATACAATCTTTTATTCATACCTCAGCTGATTCCTTGACTATACAATCTGTTATTCATAACTTAACTGATTCCTTGACTATACAATCTTTTATTCATTCCTGGACTGATTCCTTGACTATACAATCTTTTATTCATACCTCAACTGATTCCTTGACTATACAATCTTTTATTCATACCTCAACTGATTCCTTGACTATACAATCTTTTATTCATACCTTTAGTTAACTGATTCCTTGACTATACAATCTTTTATTCATACCTTAACTGATTCCCTGACTATACAATCTTTTATTCATACCTTAACTGATTCCTTGACTATACAATATTTTATTCATACCTTAACTGATTCCTTGAATATACAAACTTTTATTCATACCTGGACTGATTCCTTGACTATACAATCTTTTATTCATACCTGGACTGATTCCTTGACTATACAATCTTTAATTCACACCTCAACTGATTCCTTGACTATACAATCTTTTATTCATACCTTGACTGATTCATTGACTATACAATCTTTTATTCATACCTCAACTGATTCCTTGACTATACAATCTGTTATTCATATCTTAACTGATTCCTTGACTATACAATCTTTTAATCATATCTTAACTGATTCCTGACTATACAATCTTTTATTCATACCTTAACTGATTCCTTGACTATACAATCTTTTATTCATACCTCAACTGATTCCATGACTATACAATCTGTTATTCATATCTTAACTGATTCCTTGACTATACAATCTTTTATTCATATCTTAACTGATTCCTGACTATACAATCTTTTATTCATACCTCAACTGATTCCTTGACTTTGAAACCTTTTATTCATACCTTAACTGATTCCTTGACTATACAATCTTTTATTCATACCTTAACAGATTCCTTGACTATACAATCTTTTATTCATATCTCAACTGATTCCTTGACTATACAATCTTTTATTCATATTTTAACTGATTCCTTGACTATACAATCTTTTATTCATATCTTAACTGATTCCTTGGTTAACTGATTCCTTGACTATACAATCTTTTATTCATACCTTAACTGATTCCCTGACTATACAATCTTTTATTCATACCTTAACTGATTCCTTGACTATACAATATTTTATTCATACCTTAACTGATTCCTTGAATATACAAACTTTTATTCATACCTGGACTGATTCCTTGACTATACAATCTTTTATTCATACCTGGACTGATTCCTTGACTATACAATCTTTAATTCACACCTCAACTGATTCCTTGACTATAAAATCTTTTATTCATACCTTGACTGATTCATTGACTATACAATCTTTTATTCATACCTCAACTGATTCCTTGACTATACAATCTGTTATTCATATCTCAACTGATTCCTTGACTATACAATCTTTTAATCATATCTTAACTGATTCCTGACTATACAATCTTTTATTCATACCTTAACTGATTCCTTGACTATACAATCTTTTATTCATACCTCAACTGATTCCATGACTATACAATCTGTTATTCATATCTTAACTGATTCCTTGACTATACAATCTTTTATTCATATCTTAACTGATTCCTGACTATACAATCTTTTATTCATACCTCAACTGATTCCTTGACTTTGAAACCTTTTATTCATACCTTAACTGATTCCTTGACTATACAATCTTTTATTCATACCTTAACAGATTCCTTGACTATACAATCTTTTATTCATATCTCAACTGATTCCTTGACTATACAATCTGTTATTCATATCTTAACTGATTCCTTGACTATACAATCTTGTATTCATATCTTAACTGATTCCTGACTAAACAATCTTTTATTCATACCTTAACTGATTCATTGACCATACAATCTTTTATTCATACCTCAACTGATTCCTTGACTATACAATCTGTTATTCATATCTTAACTGATTCCTTGACTATACAATCTTTTATTCATACCTTAACAGATTCCTTGACTATACAATCTTTTATTCATATCTCAACTGATTCCTTGACTATGCAATCTTTTATTCATATTTAAACTGATTCCTTGACTATACAATCTTTTATTCATATCTTAACTGATTCCTTGACTATACAATCTTTTATTGATACCTTAACTGATTCCTTGACTATACAATCTTTTAATCATACCTTTAGTTAATTGATTCCTTGACTATACAATCTTTTATTCATACCTGGACTGATTCCTTGACTAAACAATCTTTTATTCATACCTCAACTGATTCCTTGACTATACAATCTTTTATTCTTACCTCAACTGATTCCTTGACTATACGATCTGTTATTCATACCTCAACTGATTCCTTGACTATACAATCTTTTATTCATACCTCAACTGATTCCTTGACTATACGATCTGTTATTCATATCTTAACTGATTCCTTGACTATACAATTTTTTATTCATACCTCAACTGATTCCTTGACTATACAATCTTTTATTCTTACCTCAACTGATTCCTTGACTATACAATCTTTTATTCATACCTTAACTGATTCCTTGACTATACAATCTTTTATTCATACCTCAACTGATTCCTTGACTATACAATCTTTTATTCATACCTTAACTGATGTCTTGCCTACATCTATTGCTACTTTCTCAGCTTTCTTTTTCCATTTGTTCTTCTTTTCTTCACTTAAGCTCTTCCATTTCTTTAGATAGTGCTCATGGACAGCGTCGCCACCTCCCTGAACAATTTATAGTACATTAAAAGTTTTGTGTAAAGCTAGCATTCATACCAATTCAAAATACATTCATGTACATAATGTTCAGAGATATGTCTCCACTATTTGTTATTTTGAATAATGCAAATGCTGAATTAAAATAGCAATACTTTAACATGTAAGTTATGCAAATATTCAAAGTCAATGAACCATGACTGAAGGTATAGGGCTAAACAATCTCCATGGCAATGAGATGGGCCAATGCTAATACAACTGCATACCAAATACCATTGACTTTTTATAAGTCGTTCCCTTTAAACAAACCTAAACACAAACATTAACTTGTAAACTATGTAAAAGTTTCAAAGTCAATGAACCATAATGAGGGGGTGAGGTTATATAATCTCCATGGAAATGAATCTTCATACCAAATATCATTGACTTAACATTAGTGGTTCATCTTAAACTGACCTAATCACAAACTAATACATGTAAACTAAGTAAAAGTTTCAAAGTCAATAGCCCACGACTGAGGGGTAAGGACCAAATATTCTCCATGGTATTAAGATGTGCTAATGCTTATACAACTGCATGCCAATTATCATTGACCTTCCACTTACAGTTCCCCTTAAACTGACCTAATCACAAACTAATACATGACAAGAGTGCACACACTGAAATGTCTCGCCTTCTTTACTAATCATTGATATTATGTTGATAGTCCTAAATATAAAGCTTTATTACAACTGTCACATAAACTTAACATTAACCAAGAAAACTAAACATTGACCAATGAACCATGAAAATGAGGTCAAGGTCAGATGAACCGTGCCAGGCAGACATGTACAGTTAACAATTCTTCCATATAACAAATATAGTTGACCTATTGCTTATAGTTTAAGAAAAACAGACCAAAACACTAAAACTTAACACTGATCAATGAACCGTGACAATGAGGTCAAGGTCATATAAAACCTGCGTGACTGACATATAGATCATAAAATATTTCCATACACCAAATATAGTTGACCTATGGCATATAGTATTAGAAAAAAAGACCAAAACTCAAAAACTTAACTTTGACCACTGAACCATGAAAACGAGGTCAAGGTCAGATGACACCTGCCAGCTAGACATGTACACCTTACAATCATTCCATACACCAAATATAGTAGACCTATTGCATACAGTATAAGAAAAACAGACCAAAACACAAAAACTTAACTATAACCACTGAACCATGAAAATGAGGTCAAGGTCAGATGACACCTGCCAGTTGGACATGTACACCTTACAGTCCTTCCATACACCGAATATACTAGACCTATTGCTTATAGTATCTGAGATATGGACTTGACCACCAAAACTTAACCTTGTTCACTGATCCATGAAATGAGGTCGAGGTCAAGTGAAAACTGTCTGACGGGCATGAGGACCTTGCAAGGTACGCACATACCAAATATAGTTATCCTACTACTTATAATAAGAGAGAATTTAACATTACAAAAAATGTTAACTTTTTTTTCAAGTAGTCACTGAACCATGAAAATGAGGTCAAGGACATTGGACATGTGACTGACGGAAACTTCGTAACATGAGGCATCCATATACAAAGTATGAAGCATCCAGGTCTTCCACCTTCTGAAATATAAAGCTTTTAAGAAGTTAGCTAACGCCGCCGCCGCCGCCGCCGCCGGATCACTATCCCTATATCGAGCTTTCTGCGACCAAAAGTCGCAGGCTCGACAAAAACTAAGCAAAAGTTTCAAAGTCAATAGACCATGACTGAGGGGGTGGGGCTAAATAATCTCCATAGTAATAAGATGTGCTAATGCTAATACAACTGCATACCAAATATAATTGACCTACCACTAGTGGTTCACCATAAACTAGACCTTATCACAAACTAATACGTTGTTGACGACGCCGCCGCCGCCGGAAACAGCATACCCAAGTCTTGCTTTTTGACTCCTTCAAGGTGAGACAAAAATGAACTGTGGATTCATTTATTTTCGTGGGTATTAGATTTTGTGGATTGAGAAAAAGTTGCTTTTTCGTGGATATTTGATTAATAGGTTTTGCCAAAGTCTTCATACAAGCCTATAGAAATTTGTGACTTTTGGGACATTTAAATTTGTGGTTCATTTGTACCAAAGAATTAGACAAAAATCGGTATCCAACGAATAATAATGAATCCAAAATATTCGATAACTTATTAGGTAAACTAGTATCAATATGAAAACAAGGAGATATGGTATGATTGTCAATGAGAAAACTATCCTTAAAGACTAAATGACAAAGACGTAAACAATCACAGATCACTGTAAGACCTTCAATTAAAGATAAATCAAAACAAATACATTACATTTGAGCATACATATATTTAAGAGGAAGACAGGAAACCAAATTCAGAAGAAGGCAAAATTATGCACAAGTGCTTGATAGATCGATTGTTGGTGTTTTAACATCAATTTCAGCACATTTGTCGCCTATCCAGTCTTTATTGGTGGAGGAAGCCAGAATACCATGACATTTGGCAGGAAAATTGGCAATCCTCGACAATTAAGGTAAGAGTCAAACACACCTAACTACGAGCAGGATTCAAACTCACAACCTCAGTGTTGCAGATGTTAAAATTAGTATGTCAGATAACAGTATTTTAATTTCTGTCTTACATTCATGAAATTTTGGCATTAAGGGAAATACAGTCTTATTTTGAGAACAAATCATTAAAATCACATAAATAACGGCCTTACCCAAAAAGAAACTTTGCTTCAAGATGTATTTCAAAGAGGGTGGTAAAGGGTTATTTTCGTTCAACTTGTTTTGCCATTTTTATTGCACGTGCAGCCTTGAAAAAAGTTCGTTATTCATCGTGTTTCATGAAATCGGTAAAAAGATCAACGTGCAAGAAATTTTTAATTGTTCGTTCATCATGAAATTGTTATTTTATTTCGTGTTCTTCCATGCAGATACCCCCTTTATGCCCCTCTTCAAAAAGAAGTTAAATGTCCATGAAAGTTTTATCATCAGCTATGTCTACAATGGTAACTTAATGTCAAATACGAACATAAATGGCATGTTTATGTAGTTAGTGACATCATACATGACAACAATGTAACAGTGCCATCATAAATGACATTTTTGTAGTGAAGTAACCATACATTCTCTGAAAGGTTTACCTCTTCAATCTCTTCTTTACTAACTCTGTACTTGATGTACAGTTCCTGAGCTCTTTGACTGCAATGAAATAGAATTAGATTAAAAGAAATTAATGAAAATACAAAATGTGATAGAATAATAACAATGTCTTGTTTATATTTTTCCAATTTGTTAACAATAGGGTTAGGGTTAGGTAAGTTACTGTAATAAAAATGTTCACAAGTTTTTTCGTTTATATTTCCCTATTGTGTTCTACATACAGTTGAATTATGGTACATAAAACTCGTGTTGATTGAATTCCTTGAATTTTTTAACTGATATAAAAAAACGCATATTTTCCATTTTTGTTCCAAGTTACAAAAAAAAAAAATCTCTGGACAGTGATTTTGGATGCCCCTCTCTTTTAAAGTCAATGATCTGCTGAAGGAAACCCCAAAATCAATCCAGACCAATAGACAAAATAGGAGGTACAGATTGAAATTTAGGACGGAAGTACAAAAGGACAGACTGATTGACTACCCAAACTTAAGAAAGGGGGAGGGGGATATTAAGTTTATTCTTACCGTAACCCACATCTACCCCCTTAATTGATACGTACCTTAAAGTCAAGGTCGGTGATCTCTTCTGTCTTGAAGGGTTCTTTTTAGCTGGACTTTTTTCTTCCTGTATGGACTATAAAGTAAAAAAAAATGCAATCATAGAATTTAAAGAAGCACTGTTTTGACTATCAGAATTTGGACCTTCCTGAACAGCTAACTTCAATATTTTTTTAGAAATTACCTTTAAGAATGCTCCCATTTCAAATCTAAAATATTACAGTTTACAATTTTATTATACTTCTTGATATGGCATGCAACAATCTTTTCTTTTTTTTTTACTATGGCAAACAAATGAAGAATATGTCAATGGGACACAGATGCTTGCATATATGTTATAAAGGGACATAACTCTAGAAAGGTAAAAGTGACACCACCCAAATTCGAACTTGATCTGTGTTTTGTGGTAATAAGCATTGTGTATAAGTTTCATAACATTTGGTTGAGGCAAACTAAAGTTAGAAAACAGGAACCAATTTGGGATGTATGGACAGACAAGGGTAACACTAAATGCCCCCTTCGCTGCAGCAGGGGCATAAAAAATATTTGTGCTTAGGAATTGGTCTATGTAATATATCAATCATTGTCAATATATTATGCGTAAAATTTCCGAAACTATCTTAGTCATTTAATTTCTTAACATTATAGACGCGTCCTGCTAATTTTACAGTACGACCCTTGACATTCTCTGTTGAATGTCGACCTTAAAATTTATGGTGAACATGATGGCCTTACATGTCTAACATACATGTATGTTCACCTTCTGTTTGATTAATAAACAAAGTAATTATCGGATAACATTTCACCAGTCAAGCGTACAGGAACTAGTAATTGTACCAGGTGATTAATTCAAATACATATAGTAACAGGTGATGCATCTCAGGTAAATTTTAATTACATGTACATAGATGGCAACCCCCCTTTGTTGCAATTAGTAAAAAAATATTACGATTTCCATAATTTCTGATTTTTTTCAGTGCTAATATTTTTGTATAACATTTTATAATAATCATACTAACAACTAGGCACACAGTGACAAATAAAAGACTTCCTTCCTTTATTTATGACAACTACGACTCAAAGTTGATGAGCACATGAGGAAAAACAAACATCGCGCTGAATAGAAGTCTTGTTCACAAAATATTTGCAAAAGACATCAGACATCGTACTCGGCAGGTTCATTAATTATTCGGAATCGAACAAGAAATAGATAGATCGCTTACTAATATAGATAGTCCCAAGAAAATTTAAATCTGTATCACGCAAGCACTTATTGTTACAAAATTAAAACCAAAAATAAAGCGTCACATTGATCAAAATGAGATTAAACAGGGAACTGTTCCAGACAGGTAATGAACGAAAATCCGTAACAAGTAGACTGTTAATTGTAACACCGTAATTTTGGTCCAATATTCGTAAAAATTACTGGTAAATCGTAACGGTTGCCATCTAAGCATGTATGTTCAATGTGTCACAGTTGATGTGTTTTGACAGAATTGTGCATAAGCTGTTAAACAAATGTACCTCTCTTTCTTCATGATATTTTGTGTGTTTCTTTAGTTCTTCCACTGAAAAATAAAGTATGTAAATTAATAACTGATATAAACCAAACATTGTGACTTTGAGATGAAGAACAGCAATAAAAACACTGTTCCTTTGCTTTTTGTGTTTTATGTTAGACTGACGTACATACGGACAAGGGTAACACTTAACATCCCTTCCAGTGAAGGCGTAGGCATAAAAATAACAAGAACGTTATAAGATTTTCAAAAATGACTTTCTAAGATACATGGATGTAATAAAATTATGAAAAGAAAATAAGGTGTTAGCAGGGAAAATGTTTATTGGCACCACATGGTTAAAACTAGAGGATTCTGAATATCTGACAAAATGTCAATAACATGAGAAGCAAACATCCTTTAACTCGCACTTCACAATGTTTATTTAAGTCCACCAGAATACTACTCTATAAGTCAATTTTCATTTGCAATATATAATATTTTATATGAAATTTATGATTTTTTTTATCAGATATTACCAATCATGCTAATAAATTATGTAAACAAGCAAAAAATAAATGGATAATGTGTCTATGGGCCACAGATGCCCCTGCTTGTAAACAGTCAAGGGTCTAACTTAAATAAGTTATTAGAGAAAAATAACATACATGTGTTATTACAGATACTTTCATGAGTTGTCTGCTCTTTTTTTCTTAATCTGTAGTAACATATGTTTGTTATTAGTTAATACATCAAAAATATTTTTATTTTTAGTGGGCTCTTGGGATTTCTTGAAACTTTGCGCAGAAACTTAATACATAACCTTAATAATTAATTTTCCAATTCAATTTATACATTTTTGATCAACCATGGTAAATCAATGAGACAAGGCTTTTAAGGGATACACTAAGCTGTAATAACAAGGCTTAGTTATTACAGGCATGTAACTTATAAAATGAAACACTTGGGAATTACTTGGAATCTTGCGCAGAACCTCATTGCATGCTCTGATCATTATGTCTTACAATGAATTAAAATATATTGTGATATATGTCTGAGAAATGGCTTTGAAGTGATGTAAAGAAGCTGTAATAACACCCTTTAGTTATTACAGGTATATATTTTCTTTAATAACATAGGTGTACTATACATGATTGGCAAACTATGAACTGTTATATCTTTCTAAAGTTTAGTATACATAAAGACAATAATAATACCTATAGAACTTGTATACAATTTAACAAAGTAAAGGAAGTATATTGCCTCTTTGAAACATGTAACATACATATTTTATCACAGTTTTTTTATATTTTAGCCCACAATAACGACATGTATGTTATTTTTCTCTAATAACTTATTTAAGTTAGACCCTTGACTGGTAAATATGCATGAGTCAACTTCCACATACAGATGCAGGATTCATGTAGTTAAGACCGTTTTGAGATTATAAGCATAAGTTTCATAACATTTGGTTGAGGCAAACTAATGTTAGAAAACGGAAACGCCAGATTTAGTAATTTTTCCATTTATAAAGGGGCATAACTCAAGAACGGTAAAAGAGACATCATCCAATTTCAAACTTGATCTGTGTTTTGTGGTAATAAGCATTGTGTATAAGTTTCATAAAATTTGGTTGATGCAAACTAAAGTCAGAGAACGAAAACGAAAAAATTCAGCAATTTTTATGTTTATAAAGGGCATAACTCATGAACGGTAAAAGTGACGCCAACCAATTTCGAACTTGATCTGTGTTTTGTGGTAATAAGCATTGTGTATAAGTTTTATAACATTTGGTTGAGGCAAACTAAAGTTAGAGAACGGAAACCAATTTTGGGGATGTACGCGACAGACAAGGGTAACACTTAATGCCCCTCCACTACGGCGGGGGCATAAAAACAAATTACAGCAGTATATGCTAGTTATTTGCAACTGAATATTTCCCATCTAGACCCAATCCTGTGTAAAGTTATTGAGTAATTTAAACAAGAAAAATTGTGTTGAAAAATTTAATGTTATATTGGCTGATGAGAAAATGTTTAAACCAAATGTAGACTGGATTTTATTTCATTCTAAAAGTTTAGGATGGTTGGACCATTCCCCCTCCTTTCCGTTTCCAATTTTTGTGTATATTGTTGGAAAATAAGTATGATTACTTAATATTAAAATTACTTAACAAACAATATCAAATTCAGTAGTATTGCAGTAAGAGGTGCAGCTGACTTTTAGGATGACTTATATATATTTACTTTTGTAATTTACTATTTTATTATTTATTTATGTGTTTCTCTGTCCTGAGTGTTATTGCATTTATTTGTACTGTATATCTGTCACGTACAGTCAGGGGTACTACTTGTACAAGTAATCTTTATTTACTTGAAGAAGTAAATAAAATATACTTATACAAGTTAATTATATTGTTTGAATAATCTCCCCTTAATTTTCTAAAAAATTTACTTGTATAAGTAAATTTTTTTTACAATCCCACAAAAATTCTCAAGTTTTGAGATGTAAAATCATGCCTTTAACAATTTTTCTCAGGTTAGCTCATAATTTTTGATAAGAGTTCAATGTTTCATCTCATTAATTCAACAAAGAAACTGATTGAGCAAAGATCTTAAGTATTTGCGCAAGGCCTTCAAAAATTGCTCCTTGGGGGCTTGTAAATGAGCAGTGTTCTAAAGATAACAGACAAATGAGATTTTCATTGTCCATGAAATTACACTTAAATGAATAGTAAAGACATCTGCAAAGGACAGACAATTCAAAATTCTGTTAGAGCAAAGAAGTTCTAAGAATTCAAGAAAAGAAGATAAAATGACTTTTTTACTTGTATAAGTAAAAAAATCTGAGTGTCTAAGGGACATAACTAGGCCAAAAAATAATTTACTTATACAAGTAAATAAAATACACTTGTATAAGTATCCTACAAATTTACTTATATAAGTATATTATAATTACTTCTTCAAGTAAATAAAAATTACTTGTACAAGTAGTACCCCTGACTGACGTAATGTTGTCATTTTAGCGGTATTTTTAACATTGCCAGCAACCCACCATTTTTTCTTAAAATGTCCTGTACCAAGTCAGGAATATGGCAGTTGTTATCAAATAGTCCGTTTCTATGTTTGTTGGCGTTTGTTTTTGTTGCAGTTCAGTGTTTCTGTTGTTCTGTTGTTTTCCTCTTATAGTTGATGTGTTTCCCTCAGTTTTTGTTTGTAACCCGGATTTGTTTTCTCTCAATCGAGTTATGACTATTGAACAGCGGTATACTACTGTTGCCTTTATTTATAACCTTGATAATGGGCCCTACTGGACAGCCTAATGTTAACGTTTTTATGACGACCCCTGCAGTATCAATATGCAGGTGATAATGTCAGGTCAGCAATATTATGGTAGCCTTAATCTTGTATTGATATAAAACATACTTACAGATTTGTAGGAGAATATCTGTATTGTCTACACACTTACAACTCATCTAAAATATACACAAAAAATTATGTTTACTGATCATAATTTATTGTTACTTTCTTATTTTTTTCAAGTATTGCTGATTGATCATTGATTAAAAAATATATATGCAATATTACAAATGTAGCAAACATATTCCATTTCAATGTTAGTCATTAAAATATCAAATCTGAGACATATCTATCAGTGGATTTTACCACCACTCTGCATACACTATGAGAGAAATTTAAAATGGTTACATTGCCAAATATATAGTTTGGTTTACCTCTGTACTCGGGATGCTACTCCTGAAATGATGAGCTTATTTGTAACACAAATGATTTATTTTGTCCTGCATTGTCCTGATTGATAAATACGAGTTAGCAGTATCTTCATAGATTGGATGATAACAGTTGAGAATTTCGAAGGTCTTTTAAAAGTGTTCAATTTAGCAAATACATGCATGTGTACCAGACTTGACGTACAAAAATGTACATGGGTATATCAAAATGCATGTGATATGAAGACAAAGTCCTCAATAACAATAGAAAAATAAATAAAAGTGTAAAATCTAGTGTTCTTTCCAGTCCGATATGACGCTGCAGGACAGCGCCTTCCAAATATTTTTTTTGTTCCCACAGCACTTACATTGGCACACAGTGCCTTAAATGATAATCCCACAGCCTGTTAATTTTCAAATTTAATTACAAACTGTTGATAACTTTGTAAAGTTAAAGATCTCCGCTGAGAAGAAAATCAATATTACACCAAATTACACAATTATTGATCGACTCAAGTCTATCATTTGCCTTGTCAGAGCGCATAATTGCATAGTTTATCATCGAAAAGATAAATATTATTGGATACTTTTTTACAGTGTTTCAAGGTTAGGATTAAAGGAAAAGATCGAAATACAAATATGAAAAGTTTTTATGCATGGCTTTCCTGATTGATTGCTGAATTAAATATTGAATGTTCTCATTGGTCAATAATAAAAGTCTATTTTAATACAACCAATGAACATATTGAAAACACATGGCAACTTTGCAATACAACTATTTATGAATGGAAGTCGTTTTATGCAAAAAAATGTAAAGTAAATTTTTAACTAATATTTATGATAAAATTCATAATGTCAGTCAGGGGTACTACTTGTACAAGTAATTTTTATTTACTTGAAGAAGTAAATAAAATATACTTATACAAGTTAATTATATTGTTTGAATAATCTCCCCTTAATTTTCTAAAAAATTTACTTGTATAAGTAAATTTTTTTTTACAATCCCACAAAAATTCTCAAGTTTTGAGATGTAAAATCATGCCTTTAATAATTTTTCTCAGGTTAGCTCATAATTTTTGATAAGAGTTCAATGTTTCATCTCATTATTTCAACAAAGAAACTGATTGAGCAAAGATCTTAAGTATTTGCGCAAGGCCTTCAAAAATTGCTCCTTGGGGGCTTGTAAATGAGCAGTGTTCTAAAGATAAAAGACAAATGAGATTTTCATTGTCCATGAAATTACACTTAAATGAATAGTAAAGACATCTGCAAAGGACAGACAATTCAAAATTCTGTTAGAGCAAAGAAGTTCTAAGAATTCAAGAAAAGAAGATAGGATGACTTTTTTACTTGTATAAGTAAAAAAATCTGAACGCCTAAGGGACATAACTAGGCCAAAAAATAATTTACTTATACAAGTAAATAAAATACACTTGTATAAGTATCCTACAAATTTACTTATATAAGTATATTATAATTACTTCTTCAAGTAAATAAAAATTACTTGTACAAGTAGTACCCCTGACTGAATGTGAATCGAGTTTGTGTCTGAATATGAAATTTTGTTCTGAGCAAATAAAATTCGTCCTTAATTGTTACGTTTAAAAAAATAAATCAGTTATCTGTTTTTGGTCCTTGCACCAGAAAACTGACAATACACAACTCGATGTCAATAATAGGGTATGAAAACGCAGAAGCATATGTAAATAATTTTGTTGGATTTCACTCTGAAGAACTTGTTAGGTTACTACCGGCCAAAGAAAAGATTGTGACAAATACACACGGAAGAGATCTCAAAATGTCAAACTGCGGAAATTGGTCAGCTGTTCAATAATTCTTTTGTTTTAAAAAGTTGTATACCAAAAAATCAACATGATCAATGTGTTTTGTATATGTGTACATTGATTATATCTTATCTAATGATAATTTATAAATAGTGTACATAATTATACACCTAGTCGGTCATAAAGCTTTTAAAATCATATTGTATAATTTCTGAAGGATTGTTTCGCGTCACAATAGTTCACTCCATAAAAAGGAGTTACGCGGTACGAACTTTTGCGCCTTCAAAAATTTCCAGGGAGAAGACTGAAATAAATACACTAATGAACTCAAATCATTAACTTTTTTTTTTTAACAGTTGCGTTTGTCCATTACCCTGTTCTTGTTCTGTTGGCAGATGCTGCCTAACAAAAAAAGAATAATGACAACAATACAATGAAAATGAAATTTGTAATACGGACTTTGTCCTCTTTGACAGGCAACACCCCCCATATTATATAGCCATCAAGAGGGTGCCAATCAGATTGGGAGTCGTTCACAAGGAGGGACTGAATTATTATGAAATAATTCATGGCAACCATAGATTTGTTTTCATTTAACCATGGGTTGGGCATTTATGATAGCGAGAGGTTAAATACGAATGTAAATGCCAACCCATAGTTAAATGAAAACAAATCTACAGCTGCCATGAAATATTTGGATTCTAATAGGACAAATACGGTAAGTTTGTCAACTGTTAAAGCCTTATACACACGATACTGTTTTGGCTGTTCCGTTTTACCCCTTTTATAATAATATTAATAATATTATCTTAATCAATAGTAAATAAAAAAAAATCACCTTTTCACCTAAAATGTTCTTCTTTTTGTCTTAATTTTATTACATATACTGAGGCATACAAGATGCCTGAAAATGTCCAGTGTTAACATTTGACACTGGAACATAGTTGCCAACTCACATGATATTCGTGTGTAATACACGCTTTTTCAACAGTTTACACACGAGGATTTTGTCACATGGCATGTACACGCTTTTCGCCACTTTACACGCTATTACATGCTTTTTCGTTGTTTTGATTTTTTGGTCGTTAGTGAGATCGCAATTCACGGCTGTTTTCATTGATAGAAGATAAATACCAAGAATTTCGAAGAAATTGTGACGTCGCCATTGTTTATTTACAATATGGACTAACAATAAAAGCCCTTTACTTCAGGTAAGTTTGTAAGTAGGTTTTAAGGTTTTGTTACTTCTTTCTCTATTCACTTTGGGGAAAAGTCCAGCAGAAAGTGGTCACTTTCTGGACATGTACTGTCGTCTAAAGAGCAGAGTGCTAAGCGAAAACGATAACAGTGTACATACCAAAAAAGTTGGGAGTCCGTGTTAAAATCAATCAAAAGAAGGTGATCGACATGATCGAGGGCCAAACAATGCATTGTGCACCCTATGTTACTCTCATATTTATATTGGATCATCTGCAAACATTATCAATCATTTGCAATCATAACAACATGTGTGAGAGGATGTAATATTTGATAAAGCATTCAATGGTCATGATGGTATTCAAATTATAATTTTTTTTTCTTTTTCAGTTTCAAATCTAGCCAACAGATTTCCACAGGCCATATGGGAGGGAATATCACAAAACTGTTGGATCAGTTCTCTGAGTACCAGCATGTCTTCTGGTGAACTACCCACTTTTGACCAGACAATAGCAACATACATTTATATAATTTGTGGGGAGCAATGGCAGATATAGATGACATTTTTAATGGCAAAAAAAAATTATATATATGACATTCTTTCAAAGCTTGCTATTTAAACGTCAGAGCTCCAGATAAGCTGCGTATTTGCGTGATCACGCAATAAAAATAATTAAAAACCCAATGCAATTGCCCATTGCAGGGTTCAATAACCCAATTAATTCAAAGGAAAACCCAATTATATGCCAAAAACATGGGTTCTTAACGCTTTTATTTGCTATCTTTTGCGTTATTTACCCTTACTTGATTACAGTCGTCGCGTAAATCTATTTTTATAATATAATATTTATAATTGGAAATGTCCTTTCGTTCTAAAAATAGAGCCATGCATCAAGTAGCTGTAATGGGTCCCTGTTGGAATTTTCCGTTGCTCAAAAGGTACACGTGTTTATGAAAACATTTCGATCTTCTCGGCGTTTATCCAATTAGCGTGTGACATGCTGTCATATTTTTTCGAATTGCTCGGGACTTATCATAACATACAATGAATTAAAACGAAAGTAAATGTCCGGTAAAAATATTGAATAGAAGCATGTTTTCGGCTTCTTTTTGATAGCTGAGGGAAAGTTATGATGATAACAAGACTCAGCTAGTGATTTTAGGAAGCGGCCATTGAACGCACGGGCGTGTTTGCGCCGGTACCACAACGAGAACATTGCTAGAGCGATAAACACGGGGTTCCGTCAAAAACGAAATCAGTTGGAAAAAGTGAAAGGCCAAATCAATTATGACATGAAATGTAGTTTGAAAGCATCGGAAACCAAAAGTTCTGATAAGGGACAATTTAACCCAGATTTATGTGATTTGAATTAAACGAAAACAGTTTATATATTATTTTTTTCATTTTAGTTGATGAGTGAATTATATATATATATATACACATATCCGTTTTTTACGTCAATGCAGCTTGACACTTTCTTTGTTTTGGTCTAATTGTTCTAGATGCTTTTAAAGATAGTTGTCTTATTGGCAAGTGCAGTATAACATTGTCATTTATTTACTTGATGTTGCAGAATTATTTGTAAATTTAAGTTGAATGTGGTCTCCGTCATTATAAACCTCAAGGTTTTGGGGTATATCTTAAATCTGGAAACTACTTTTTATTTTTATTAAAAAGTAGATTTGGCAAATATTGATTGATTGATTGATTGATTGTTGTTTGCTTTACGCCGCATTAGCACAGAAAGGCTATATCGCGGCGAGAGC